TTTCAAAAATAGTGTGTATATTTCTCTGGGAGAAGTGATATTTCAGATGTCCCATGTTTACATCTATAATATTCTAATTATTAGGCTTGTGCTTTGGCTTCATTTCAAAATGAGCCATGCAGGTATCATGAAAGTTTCAAAGGATGTGTTAATAATATTCAAAAAAAAACTACAAATTGTGATACTAAAGGATTGAATAAGATTGGTTGCTCATTAACTGAAGATAATTGTTAATATGATAAAACAAAATGTATTAAATCAAAAGAAACTGATATTATGATTGATCAAGAAATTGATAAAGATTAGGAAATTTAAGAACAAATAAAAATAAATTACAATTCTACTTAAAAATGTAAGGATGCATATTTAAATAAAATCTAATGTTCATCAATTATTACTAAAGGAGAATTATGTATTTGGTCTTACACAACTAACTCGTGTACTTAAACTTTTGTTGAAAATAATCATTATTGTTTAGAATTTGGTAATGAAAGAACAATTGTAAATCCAAATGTTTGTGCATCAATAAATTTAGATTATCCTGAATATTGTGGTTTTGATTTTACAACAAAAAAATGTAGAATTTATTCTGAAGTATGTAAAACTAAATGTTGCACAGATAAGAAATTGATTGGAATAAATGCTAATTCTTGTAGTAGGTTTTCAAGTAAAGAAATAGGTGTTTATTGTTATTTCAATGATCTTAAATGTTAAGAATTAAATACAGAAATCGTTGATATATCCGATCAAAATTTAGTTTAACAATACTATAATGAGTTAAAATTACCTTGTACATCCATGAACATAAATTCCTGCCATATGATTGAGTGGTCAACTTCTTAACTTTGTTATTATAATGGAGAGGCTTGCTTGAATCTAGATTATTCCTAAATCAAAGATTTAATGTCTCTTACTTAACATCCTAAAAGATTAAATGAATATTCCTGCTTAGCAATTCAAGCAAAGTTAACAATATATAATAAATAAAAATATTTTACTTATGATAAAGTCACAAAAAGATGTAAAGGATTGATAATTAATTCTGAATTTCAATTTGCTAAATGTGAAGATGCCTATGGAAATAAAAATCTTTGTACTAGATATACTGGTAATAACTTTTGTAAATGGGATTCAGATAGACTAAACTGTGTTACTATAACTGAAGATGAGTTTGGTGAAATTTAAACTTGTAATTCTAACTTAAATATTAAAACTTGTGTTGAGAGTTAAATATTAAATTGTTTTTTTTCATATGACAACGATGAATGTATGTAAGCTCCAATAGATGTTGCTTGTGATTATTTTAATCTAAAAGGGTTAATAACAAATTCAGTATGCAAATATATCAGTAAGCCTAGTTAGCCTTGTGAATATTCTGAAAATAAAAAAATTTGTATAAAATCAGAAACAAAATTTGAAAATTGTGATGTTTCAAGTAAGAATGCAAATAATAGAGCTTGTTATACTGATACAAATGGAAATTGTCGATGGGATTCATAGGCTTATAAATGTTATGAAAATTACACTGAAATTGCAGAATTAAATTGTAATGACAATTTAAATAAAATTCTATGTTCTTAAGTAGAAAAACAGGCATGTATGTGGGATGATATATTATATTAATGTTAAGAATTTAAACAATAAACATCTGATTAATTTGAAAATTTAAATAAAAATGTAAATCATCTTTATAATGAAAAAGCTTGTTTATTAATTACTGGAGCTGGATATTATTTCGATAAAGAAACTAAGAAATGTATAAAAATTGATGAAACTATTAATAATCTAAGATGTGATCAATATTAAATGAATTAATATGCTTGTTTATATTAAACAAGAACTCATGAATGTTTTTATGATTAAAATGAATAACCTCCTAATATATTATGTAAATTTTTTGAAGATGAATAATCATAATGTTAAACTTCTATTTTAATTAATATTGAAGTGTGTATGAATTTACCTCTTGCATGTATTTTTGATGAAAGTACTCTTTAATGTTAATCATTTTAAGTACAATAAACTATGACTTGTACATAATTATTCAATTATTACTTAAATAAAAAACATCATAATAAAATTTCATGTGCTTCTGTAAGTTCTAGTTTAACAGAAGTATTTGGAGAAAAATAATGTTCTGAAGAAAAGGAAGATTTTTAACAATGCAGATTTGAAAAATATTGTTATTGGAAAGAATATACATGTTAGGTTTTTAAACTAGTAATTAATTATTTTGATACTGGAAGATCAAAGGCCTAAGAAAGCATTACTTGCCCTAATGTTGAGATAGTGAATAATTGTCCTAATGAAGTTTTCTAAGCCAATTCTAATTTATATTAAAGAAATAAGCCAAAAATTACAATAAATAGCTTTTGGGAAGAAAAAAACTCATGTAGATTACAAAAATTTTTTACAATATTTGAATATTCGTTTACATCAATTTAAAATCCTTCAGAAACATGCAGAAATTAATTTTGTTCTTATTCTCAATAAGAATTTTGTATGAATGATTATTCAAATCAAATTACTGAAATTTTTTTTGAACTTTCCAATGATTAGCTTAACACACTCGCTTAAGTAACTTTAGAAAATTCATCCAATACATTCAATAATCTTTGTGATACTCAATTCGAACCTCCATATAATTAGATTCTTTCAGATAATTGTATTTAATAAGATAATTATGCTTTAACTCCTTGGTGTATATTAATAAAAAATATTATTAGAGTTTGTCATTAATCCTTTTCATAAGCTCTTTGCGTTGAATTAAATTAAGAAGGATGTTTTTTTGATATAAATTAGGGAGGCTGTCTATATTTAAGAAATAATGAACATAAGATACCTAATTGTTCAAGCATATCAAATAATAATTGCTATATAAGTTAAAGCAAGAATGCTATTTGTCAAAATGGAATTGTTGTTAAATAGCCAGGCCCTTCTTGTTTGAGTATTTAAAAAGATCAATAAACCTGTTAAAATATTACAACTTAGCTTTCTAGTTTTAATTGTAATGAAATAAGAGAAGAAATTTCTTAACCAATTTTATGTGCTAAGGCTAATGATTATTGTAGATTTGATGGAACAAAATGTGTTAATACTTTTCCAAATCCTTGTGATTGCAATAAAAGCTATAGTAAATTATTATGTGACCTTTGTAAATGTGATTATGTGTTCTTAGGGTATTGTTAAAAAAAGGGTAGTTTTTTGCACCCTTAATTAAATTAAGATTGCTCAAATAAATATTATTTATGCTATGAAGTCAATTAGTTTGTCACATTAAATAATTAATAAAAGACTTGCGGTTTAGTTGATTAGGCATGTAAATACACAGATAAATGTGAAGATGCTACTCATTCTACTTGTAATGAATTGATTGATTTGGTTGTATCTTAATAAGCATGTTTTAGATGCACAGGTTTAGCTATGAAATATGATAAAATTAATTAAAAATGTGTTCCTATAGCTCAAAATATAAGTTAATGTGAAAATCTGAATAAATAAGCTTGTCTATCGTTTTCCTATAATATTAAATGTTAATGGCAGAAGTTTCGATCTTAAAAATGTAATTTAAAGAAATATGAATATGGCTGTATTCCAATTTCAAATATCAAAACAACAGATTAATTTGATTGTTTAAGTTTAAATTAGGAATCTTGCAATTAAGAGTAAATAAATTTATGTTGGTTTAATACAGAAAGTAAATTATGTGAAAAATTTAATCCATTAAAAGGAAGATGTGTTTCTTATATGAATTAATCAACTTGTAATTTATCTATGGTTGAATCATGTATATGGAAAGATTTAAAATGTTAAATTGAATTGATTCCATAAAAATGTGAAGGTTTAAATAAATTTGGATGCTTAAATTTCTAATAATTAACTTGTGTTTGGTCTGATACTTTATTAAAATGTGAATTAGCTAAATTCCTTGATAAACCAGAAAGTTGTATTTAATTCTTAATTAATTAATCTGAAATATCACATATGAATGCTTAAACTTGTACTTAAATTAATGTTAATAAAAGTTGTATATTAGCATAAACCTATAAGTGTAGAGAAATATAAGAACCATAACTTTATCAATGTGAAACTTAAGGATTAAATTATAATGCTTGTCTATTAAAAACTAAAAATTCTTGTGCTTTTAAAAATTATAAATGTATAAC